AAGTCCCATGGTCTAAGTAGCCAAACCCATGGCTGTGGCACCAGTCCTGTAGCCATTTGCTGACTGGCCCTATTAACCCCCTTCCCTTTGACTGGGAGGACTGATGAAAAAACTACCTGCACCCCAGAGTCCCTGACCATTCCTCCCAGTGCTCTATAATCCTTCTTGATATTCCTCAGGCTGCTCCTGGCTGTATCACCAGTGTCCATGTGAAACAACAGCAGTGGACAGTAGTCAGAGGACTGCACAAAGCTTGGTAGTCTCTCAGTGGCATCCCTGATATGCGCCCCTGGCAGGCAGCACACCTCCCTAGAGACTGTGTCAGGTCAGCAAACGGGTGCTTCTGCACTTCTCAGAAGACAGGTGCCTGCTACTATCACCACTCGCCTTTTCTTAGTTGCGCTGGTTGGTATTCAGGGGGCAAGCTCATTTGAAGGGGTTCCAGGAGGCAGTAAGGATCAGCATCACTTTTCCCAGCTGGCCCTTTTTGTTTTGGATTTGCGCTGGGAACAGTGTTGATAACACAGGGTTGTTTTAGCTATTGCTGAGCAGTGCTCACACAGAGTCAAGGCCTTTTCTGCTCCTCACACCGCCCCGCCAGCGATAGGCTGGGGGTGGGCAAGGAGTTGGGAGGGGACACAGCTGGTACAGCTGACTCCAACTGACCAAAGGGATATTCCAGACCATGTGACGACATGCTCACCATATAAAGCTGGGGAAGAAGAAGGAAGGGGGCACGTTCGTAATGATGGCGTTTGTCTTCTCACATGTTACACATGATGGAGCCCTGCTTTCCTGGAGATGGCTGAACACCTGCCTGCCCACGGGAAGCAGGGAATGAATTCTTGTTTTGCTTTGCTTGTGTGTGCACCTTTTGCTTTGCTTATTAAACTGTCTTTATCTCAACCCATGAGTTGTCTCACTTTTACTCTTCCAATTCTCTCCCCCATCCCACTGTGAGGGGAGTGAGCGAGTGACTGTGTGGAGCTTAGTTGCCAGCTGGGGTTAAAGCATGACAGAACCTGATCATATTTTCAAGCACTGAGATACATCTCTTGAAGAATCCTCAAGTTTTAAAGGTGTTACAGTTGGCGAAGGCAAACAACAAGCAACAAGTTGGATGCTCAGAGAAAACATAAGATTGTTTCACACCCTGGACCACATAAGGTAAAAAAAAGAAATTTTTTCCTCTGCTAGCTGTTTTTGCAGAGGCAGTGGAATGGGACATCTTCAATGTTCTGGCATGGGAGAAGATGAAAAAAACACTTTTAGGCATTGCCTGCAGGGAGTTCTACAAGCTAGAGATGGATTTCTGAATAGGACTTCATAAGTATCCCTCAAAGAGTATTTACTTATTTGTAAGCACATCCAATGACCATAATTCAGGTTTGGTCCAGTGAAATAAAAATGGACAGAGACCAGAAATACCAGCTTTACTACAATACTCAGCAAACAGTACATGCTTATGGATCAGGACAGCACAGGAATTCTGTCTTCTAATAACTAGTTAACAAACCACTAACCACTTTTTTCTAGACCTTTATAGAATAGAATAGAATAGAATAGAATAGAATAGTTCAGTTGGAAGGGGCCTGCAACACTCATCTAGTCCAATTGCCTGACCACTTCAGGGTTGACCAAAAGTAAAGCATGTTATTAAGGGCATTTGTCCAAACGCCTCTTAAACACTGACAGGCTTGGGGCATCGACCACCTCTCCAGGAAGCCTGTGCCAGTGTTTGACCACCCTCTCAGTAAAGAAATGCTTCCTCATGTCCAGTCTGAACCTTCCCTGATGCAGCTTTGAGCCGTTCCCACATGTCCTGTCCTTGGATCCCAGGGAGAAGAGCTCAGCATCTCCCTCTCCACTTCCCCTCCTCAGGAAGCTGTAGAGAGCAATGAGGTTGCCCCTCAGCATCCTTTTCTCCAAACTAGACAAAGCCAGAGCCCTCAGCCACTCCTCATAGGACATGCCAGCCCTTTCACCAGCTCTGTTGCCCTCCTCCGGATGCATTCAAGGACCTTCACGTTCTTCTTAAACTATGGGGCCCAGAACTGCATACAGGCCGCACCAACTCTGAATACAGCGGGATCATCACCTCTTTTGACTGGCTGGTTATGCTGTGTTTGATGCACCCCAGGATGCAGTTTGACCTCTTGGCTGCCAGGACACACTGCTGACTCATATTGAGCCTGCTGTTGACCAGTACCCCCAGATTCCTTTCTGCATGGCTGCTCTCCAGGCACTCCTCTCCCCATTTTTACTT